AAAGCCATAACTATCATGTGACCCCTTCAGTTCAATCTTTTTTGGGCACAGACCTAAGGAAAATGAAATTACAACCTCATAAAAAAATATTTGTACTAGGCCAGCGGTGGTGTTGCACACCTTTAATCTCAGCATTCAGGAGGTAGAGGCAGGTGAATCTAGGTGAGCTTGAGGCCAGCCTGGTCTACAGAGCTAGTTCCAGGACAGCTAGGGACACACACACACACACACACACACACACACACACACTCCACAAAACAAAACAAAACTCTGTCTAGAAAAAAAATCTGTACTATTATGTTCATTGTAGTTAGTCATAATGGCCAGGTTAAAAAAAAAAAAGAGGGGTGTGTAGTATGCCAACATTTACATGGTAGCAAATATTTAGCAAAAGGCAAACTATTTACAGCCTCTGGAGAGAAATGCAGAGGAGTAAATGTTTAAGACTAACAAGTTGAATGATCTAACAACAGAAATACCAAGGCTGCTACGTGTCCTCAGCATTTTTGCTAAGTGAGACATGGGAAAGGAGGGCTGAAATACAGGAGTTAAATGAATGTCTCCAGATGAGGGAAGGATAAGGGTCTTCCACACAGTTCTGGGAAAACTGGACTTCAACATGAAAAGCACTGGTATTGCACATGTACCTTGTACCACATACAAAAATCAACCCCAAATAGACAAAAGATCCAAATGCCAAGATTTGAAATCATAAAACTCCTCGAGAATGGCTTTGTCAATGTTTTCTTGCTGTCATATATCATTTCAGAGAAAGAATAAACAGGATTATATCAATCTAAAAGCTTCATAGGGAAAAAAATATCAACAATTATTGGGGCTGGGAATTGCAGTGATCTGATAATAGGCATTATAGACACTATTTTATAGTATATGCATTTTATAACATGTTTTATACCTCAATTATATCACAATACATTTATTTTAAATGATAAAGGAGAAAGATAAGAAATACTTATTGAAACAGCATATTTGTGAGATATTTTGATGATGCTGTAGGGACAATATAGATATAATACTGGATAATATACCACTAAAAAGGTTTTTCTGACTAAAATTAACATATGAAGAAAAATCTTCTAAAAATACACTTAAGCCAGGTATGATGGCATATACATGTCATCCCAGTAGGAGGCAGAGGCAGGAGGATTGCCATAAGTTTAAGGCTATCACAGTCTACATAGTGAGTTCCAGGTCAGCCAGGGATATGTAGAAAGACCCTGTCACAGGGGCTGGAGAGATGGCTCAGTGGTTAAGAACCTGATGCTCTTGCAGAAGACTGGAGTTCCATTACCAGCATCCACACACTGGCTCACAACCATCAATAACTCTAGTTCCAGGGGATCTTCTGGCCTCGTTGGGCACCAGGCATATGAGGTACACTTACACAAATGCAGGCAAAACACTCACATACATACAATAAATAAATCTATTTTTTAAAAGACCCTGTCATAAACAATGTAAAATAACTAATTAAATTCCAAATATATTGACATTAATAAGTAGATATTGTGTGTGTGTGTACATGTGTATACAAGTTCATGCACATGTGTGTATACCTGGAACCCACAGGTCAACAGTGGCCATCTTCCTCAGTTGCTCTTCATTTTATTTTACTTTTTAAAATTATTTATTTACACATGTATGTTATGCACACATGTGCATGGATATGGATATATGTTGTGCGCGCACACACACACACACACACACACACACACACACACACACGAGAACATTTATGTATGTATGTGTGCCAGGGAATGAGTGTGGTGTTTGGAGAACAACCTGTGAGAGTCAATTCTTTCCTTTCACCATGTGGGTCTCAAGCTTGGTGTCGAGAATCTTCAGTACTCAGCCATTTTGCCAGACCCTCCATCTTATTTTTTGAGACAAGGTCTCTAACTGACCTTGGGACTTCCCTCTTTGGCTAGACTGGCTGGCCAGAAAGCCCCCTCTCTCTTCCTCCCCAGTTCTGGGAGGCAGGCTGCCATTCTTTTATGTGGGTATTGGGATCCTAATTCACATCTTTGTGTTTGTGCCAATGGAATCATCTTTGTAGTGCCATAAATGGATATTTTAATGAACATCCACAAATGAATTTGCTCAAACTAAGTTTAAAGTGTTCTGACTGAAATGCTTAAAAAATATGTGTACTACCCAAAGCCATATGCAATACTATTTGTTGAATATGTGAACAGAGTGCTTTAGAAAAAAGTTTATAAACACTTGTTGAACATCAATTCCAGAGGATGGGATTACTGATAACTTTTGATTTTTCTTTGCATTTCTACTGGGTTTTCTTAAATAATGAGTTACTAAAGGGTTTTTTTTTTAACCAGAAAAGAAATGAGTTACTTCTATTTTGGGATAGCAGGGTAAATTAATACTGTATAGATGGTCACATGGCCTTGACATTCTGGCCAAGAGGAGTAACAAACTTGGTTTGCCCAGTTATAAAAGTTAAACTACTGAATAAAATTAAATCACTGGCATTAAGTTATGAAGACAGACAAATAAAATGAGTTTGTTCCCACTCACTACCTTGACAGAGACTCTGCAGAGGGAAAACCCAGGAAGAGCCCAGAATGCTCAATTGAGTTGAAGAGAGAGAGAGAGCTGAGAGTCCAGGAAGACCAAGGCTGCTAGAGTTTGTAGGACAGACTCCAAAGGTCAGAGCTGCAGAGAGAACAACAAGCCCTCCTTGAGAATTTGATGCATTGGTACACGCCCCACAAGTTAAGTCTGAGGGAAGGACCATCTGAAAGGTCTGGAGGGATTAGATGGGGCACATACACAAGGCTGGAAACAGTGTCCATGGCTACTGACCACTCTGGCAAACATCCAGTTTATAGGATGTTGGGCCGAGAACTCAGAAGGGGCTTTGCATTACATAATTCTTAGAGTAAACCCAGGCCTGACCCCACCTCTCAAAGTTTACAAGCAAGACACAAAAGAGTCAAATGGTTTCCAATTGACCTAACTGTGTCTACTCCAGGGAGTTCAGTGGGTATCAAACATAAGACACATGTGGGAGCTGTACATGGTCACATATACCCCAATGGGGAAAAAAGTAAACTAGTCTGAATATGTCAATTAAGTGACAGAGACTCTTGGTTTCGTCTTTTCTTTTTTCCTCCCTCCCTCCCTCTATCCATCCCTCCCTCCCTCTCTCCCTCCCTCCTTCTATCCATCCCTCCCTCCCTCTCTTCTTCTCCCCTCTTTCTTTCTTTATCTTCCTTTTTTCCTTCCTTCTTCTCTCCCTTCCTTCCTTCCTTCCTTCCTTCCTTCCTTCCTTCCTTCCTTCCTTTCTTTCATCAGGGAGTCAGAATATAGCTAAATCCAGCCTTGAATTTTCAGCAACCCTCCTTTCTTAGCTTCCTAAGTGCCGGGACTACAGACATATACCACCATGCCTTGTAAGCATAGACTGCATAAAAAACAAAAACAATTAAAAAAAAAAAAAACAAAAATAAGACCCTAAAAACTCTTCCTATTAGGAAAATTTCAAGAATAATGACTGCCACATAGATCAATGTTCTGTTTTCTGTTTGCTAACTTTTAGCAGACTACACATATGTTTCTGAGAATGAAAGAATGAGTCCCATCCCTTTCCTCTCTTACTTCATTCTTACTTAATTGCTTTTTGCTTCAGAATAAGCCTAGGTTAGAATCCATGCCTTGCTCAAGCCTTCCCCAGCCGGAACTTAACATTAAAACAAACACTAAATATGGCTGCGTTCTCTACTAAGCCTCTTGAAACGTTAAAATTGTTTGTTTGCTTGTTTCTTGTGAGACAGAGTCTAGCTACAGAGTCCTGACCTAGAACTCACTAAGTAGATCAGACTGGCTTTGAACTTGTGGTGACCCTCTTGATTCTGCTTCCCAAGTGCCAGGATTGAAGATGTGCACCACCACGTCCAACCTTTCCCTAACTCAAGCCCTTAATCGGCTTTTACTATTGCTTATCTGACTGCTGAATTAGCTTCCTAGATGTGCCTCACCTTTCTAGCTCTCAGAGTGCTACAATTAGGTTTTGCACAAAAAAACCAAACCAAAACAAAACAAAAAAAAAAAAAAAAAAAAACCTCCCAAGGATCCCTACTGCCTGTAAAATACAGTTCAGATTCCTTACTTTGGAGGGTGGGAAGACAGGGTCTTACAGTGTAGTCTAGGTGGCATCAGCCTCCCAGTGTTAGGGACAAACCAATTCCTTACTGACACAGAATGCATATCTTATTATCTGACTCCACCTTATATACTCAATTTTATCTCATCTGCCTCATTTATAACCCTTATATATCACAGCCACAATAAATTACCCAGAGGTTCCTGAATATGGTCCTTCATTGTCTTTCATGTGTTCTGTCCTTCACCTGGAATGTCCTCCTTCCTCCTTTGCTTTTTAACCAATGCACTCCTAACTTTAGAACCAGTTAGGTGCTACTTTTGAACAATGAAGTCTTCCAGGGTGTCAAATGTACAGTGCTAGGTATCAAGAATAAAAGATGGATAAATGTACCAGGGAGGCAGTATAATTGGTGGAGTGCTTATCTAGCGTGCACTGAAGCTCAATCTCCGGGGCCATATAAACTAGGCATGGTGGTGCATGCCTATAATTCCAGTACTCAGGTGATAACGTCAGGAAGATCAGAAGTTCAAGGTAATCTTTGGCTGTACAGTGAGTCTGAGGCCACCCTGTACTGTAAGAGACCTGTCTCAAAGAAGAATGAATAAATAAAGCATAATGTTCATAAGATTATCATGGCTAGCCAGACATGGTGGTGCATATCTTTAATCCTTTAGCCCAGCCCTTTCAAGGCAGAGGCAGGCAGATCTCTGTGGTCAGCTTGGTTTACATAGTTAGCTCCAGGCCAGCCAGAGCTACCCAGTGAGATTCTATCTCAAAGCAAACAAAATAAAACAAAACAAAAGATAAACAAACAAAAATCCCTTACAAACAAAATAAGACCCCCAACTCTTACCTCCAATGTTTTATCCAACTGGGCAGCTAGCCTTCCTATTTCATATAATTGCTGGTGGCTGACAGCAATCTCAGCTATGGGTCTTCCTGGGAGGTAAGTGAGCATTCTTACCAAGTAGCTCTTGATTTCAGATCCACTATCTAGATTGAAGGAATGACACATCTTGTCAATCATTCTTGAAAAAAACAATAGAGGCTATTGCACATGCTAGGCAAGCACTCTGCAAAGTTTATTTTCCAGCCTCAAGTACGTGCTTTTATTTATTAGACTGGCTGCATATGCTAGTACTGTGTTGTAGTAGGAAGAACATGAAACTAGCAACCAGGCATTTTAAACCGGATTGTCATTACAATGTATGTGACCTGAGGCACAGCACTTGAACACATCTGAGGGACTTGAGGCTTTCCCCTTTAAAGAGTGCTGAGATGTGCCTCAGTTAGCAAGCAGCTGCTTGAGATCAGTTTCTTGGAATTTTTAAAGTGTGAGGTCTTCACCATCTTCTTTTCTCTTATCTATTCTTTTTAGGAGCAATACAAATTTTAAAAAGGCTCCAATCGCACAGATGAGAGCCTGCATGTGCAAGGGTCTGGGTTTGATTCCGAGCAACACATACAATCTTTTTGTGTTAAGAAAGATCAGAACATGTCCTCCTGATTTTCACAGGTACTATTTATTAGGACATTTATAAAAAGAAAATTTAAATTTATACTAGATCTCAACTCAAACCATTTCCAAACCTGTAGCCAGTGTACAGTAATATGACAGTATAGGAATCTCTTACCAATGGACATGAGCGAGATCGTGTTGTCCCCTTTAGTTCGGCACACAGAGGCTGTTGGAAATCCAGCTGCTCTCAAAAACATGATGATATGGTTCTGCATTTCAATCAGGTCCGGAGTTTGGCTAGACTCTGTGTTGCTTATTTTGAGGACATATTCGACGGGGTCATCTGTAGTGTCTTTGGTTCTTGATATGTGAACATGAAAGTTTTGGTCATCATAGCTAGGGAGTGGCTGGATCTTAGAAACTTTGAACCCAAATACTGATTCTACCAGTGCAGAGGCTTGTATCTCAGTAAAAGTGGGCTTGGTGGAAGCCTGTGACTGCTGGCCATCTCCATTTGACATTATGTCTAGGGGGAAAATAACAGCCAGAAAAGAGACATATTACAATGACAGACACTTATTTGAATGATTATTATCAAGGCAGACCACTGTTTTTATATGTTGAGTCTATGCTTCTAGATTTTTATTTATAAAGTTAAAAAATCAAATTAGTGAATGAGAGAGGTGGCTCCACAGTTAAGAGCACTTATTGCTCTTTTCAGGAGATCTGAGTTTGGTTTCCAGCACTCACGGTGAGCAGCTCATACTCACCTGTAACTCCAGGGGGATCTGACACCCTTTTCTGGACTCTGTAGGCATCTGCAGTTACATGTGCATCATAGCCACACAGAGACATTTAAAAATTAAAATAATCTTTAAAAGAAACAAATTGATGTTCTACCAGGGCACAATGCCCCATGTGTATAATCCCAGCACTTGGAAAGCAGAGGGTAGAGGACTGTTTGGAGTCCAGGCCAGCTTGGTCTACCTAGCAAGTTCTAGGGTGGTGAAGGTATATAGGGAGACCTTGTCTCAAATAAAACAGAAAATACAGAAACAAAAACATTGGCAATTGAATCCTTGTGTCATAAATTATTTTTAAATTTTCTTCCCAACTGGAAGATAAAGTTCTAAGGACAAATGCAGGGCACAGAGGCATTTTTGTTGTCATCTAATTCAATCCTTCCTCTTGTCTACCAACTTTAGGTGGGAATGTAGGGCCAAAGAAATTAAGAGATGTGTCTGGAGGCTTGGAAGATGGCTCACAGGGTAAGGTGACCAATATGTGAGTATGAGGTTCGCATGAACAACCACCATAAAAAAGCCAGGCTTGGTACTGCCTGTAATTCTAAATTGTTGCATTCATTTATGTTTTTGTTTTTTGAGACAAGTTTCATGGAGCATAGGGTAGCCTTGAACTCATCATATAGCCTTGATCTTCTGATCCTCCTGCCTTTACCTCCCAAATTCTGAGACTATAGGTATGTACCACTGTTTGGCTGATTTGGTGCTGTGTGGATCAAACTCAAAGCCTCATACATGCTAGGCAAGCATCCTACCAAGTGAACTAAGTCCCCAGCCAAGTTGTTGTGTTCTTTTTTTTGGGGGGGGGCAGAGGCTCGAGACAGGGTTTCTCTATGTAGCTTTGAAGCCTGTTCTGGAACTTGCTCTATGGACCAGGCAGACCATGCTGGCCTCAAATTCACTTACATCTGACTGCCTTTGGCTCCTGAGTGCTAGGATTAAAGTCATGTGCCAGAACCGCCCAGTTTAAATTGTATTCTTGAATATCACTTCTCATGTTTACCTTCTGACCATAGTATTTGCTTTCAGAAAGCAAATTAAACTCTTCAGATTTTGTTCACTAAACATATTGTCACAAAGACTAAACAGGGTTTCAAAACAATCTTTGCACCTGAAACTTCTGGAAACTAATACATCCTGTCACACTGCTTTTAGCCTTAAGACTTTTACAAGGAGGTTTAAACATTTCATGTGTGTGTGTGTATACTCCAAGATGAAATCCTCTCAACTCTGGAAGAATTTAAGGGTATTAGAACAGTGTTGAGGGCTGGAGAGATGGCTCAGAGGTTAAGAGCGCTGACTGTTCTTCCAGAGGTCCTGAGTTCAATTCCCAGCAACTACATGGTGGCTCACAGCCATTTATAATAAGATCTGGTGCCCTCTTTTAATGTGCAGGCAAACATATAGATAGGACACTGTATACATAATAAATCAATCTTTAAAAAAGACAGTGTTGAATTTGATAGGAATTTGATAAGGAGCTGGGTGTGATGGAGCACATCTTTTGTCTCATCAATCCAGAGACAGGGACAGAAAGATTGCTGCTTGCTGAAGTTCATCCTGGAATACCTACTGAGTTCCAGTCTAGTCCTGGCTACAGCAGAAGACTTGTCTCAAAAAGAAAAACGTTCTTAAAGTTAAAAATATTTTTAGAGGCAATAAGTGAAGGCCAATCTCCAGAAAATGTTCCCATGACCTTAAATGGGGTTTGTTAAGCATCCTTCTGCAGAGCTTTGTTTGCTAAGCAGGGCAAGGTATTATTGGCAGGTTTGGTCACAAGACAACCTGGTGCACTAAACAGGTGCTCAGCTGCAGAAAGTTGTTCCAGCCACAGCTGGGCTACCAACCTCTGAAACTTCAGTCATGTGGCCTCTAAGAGTTCAGCCATGCCATCTCTAAAAGTCCCTTTGGCACCGATAGCTAAGCTGTTAAAAGTTCTCATTTGAGCTTGTATTTGTCTTTTCATTGTACACACAAAGAACTCCACATCATGAGAGAAAAGGCATGCATTGAAACCTGCTACCGAAAGTAAATACACACAAAGAAATGTTTTTATCAGAGATTTCCATTTTAACCAAACGTGTGTGGAAAGGATGGAGGGCGAATCCAAATCCTATATAGGTGTTAGTGTACTTCTTGCCAACAATATTTAGGTCCTGGAAAATCCCTCAATCAGTAAGGGATTCTAACCAGGAGGTTGGCACCAGACTCCATAATCTTTGCTGAAGAAAAGGGGAATGAAGAGGGAGTGAACCTTCCACTTTGCACTTTGTACAAGGTACACGTGAAGAGAGAGAGAGAGAGAGAGAGAGAGAGAGAGAGAGAGAGAGAGAGAGAGAGAGAGAGAGAGAGAGAGCAAAACCACAGAAACCAGTCTTTCCTTTCATCCTTTCCTAAAGTATTACAAGTCTCGTGAACTCTGCCCTAGCACTTCTTCCAAGTCGGTCTTCTGCGACCCTTATGCTATGAGCTTCCAAGGCTGGGAAGCAGGCACTTGTATTCCCTGAATCTATTTAGTGAGACAATGCTGGCCACCACTCACAGTTCACAGGCTGCAGGGACTCTAGACAGCAGTTTTCCAAGGGCGATTGGAACAGCACTTCCCGCTGCTCCAGAGGGTCTAGCTGCAGAAAAGACAACGGTGGATGGGAGGTGACCCACAGCTGGGTTCCCGGCCTTGTGTTGGTTAGGCTCTGGGGAGCCTCTGGGATGACATCCACCCCACACCAAGCAGGCCCAAGGAGGGTGGGACCCTCGGGATTGCGCTCAGTGATTCCAGCCCCAGCAGGGCTGGACAGAGAGCTGCCCGGTCAACAAGCAGCGAGTGTGAGGGGCACGAGGGCAGCAGGAGCCTGCCGCTCGCTCTTAGGGACGTTCGGTCACGGAGACCCCGGGCCGGTCTCAGCCTCCCCCCCATCCTGGCTCACCCGCCGCGACTGGACCTCCCAAAGCAGATCTGCTCTCCTCACTCAGCAAGCAAGACGCTGCGGTCCTGGAGCGCTGGAGGTGGAACCAGACCCGCTGCCGTCAGCCCCGCCTTCCTACTGGCCCCGCCCATATTCCTCCGACCAGTCAGCGCACGCTGCTGGCCGACCATACCCAGCCCTTTCCCCGCCCCCAACAGAGTTCGGGGACCCAGCCTCTGATTGGCTGTCTGCAAACCGACGAACCTGTCAGTTTCGGCTCTCTAGTCAGGATTCAGAACTCTTGTTTCTGATTGGCCCTCGAGTAGCCATTTAATAGGCTTTGGGCCCTTGAGCGGCTCCTGTCAATTCTGACCTGGTCAGCTTAGTCCAGGCAGCGACTTGGAGCTTGTCTGTCAGAAAGCTGCCTCCTGAGAGTTCTCATCTTGGCTTTCTTTCCTTACTCCTTCCCGCTCTTTCTGGAAGCGCATATCCTGGAAGCCATCTTCATAGAGCGCGGCCAGAATTGTATTCTCCCCAGAAGGGAATCCTGGTCCGGAAACTGCAAGGGTCAGTCCAACTCTTTGAGGGAACGGGCTCGCTCTCCAGGTACTGGAATGTTTCAACCTGAAACGACTGTATAAACACGCCTACACGTCAGTGCTGGCGGGAAAACTGAAGTCTAGAGTGCACAGAGCGATCAGACCGTGGTTACCAATTCCCAGTTCAAGACCTTGGCCCCATCACCCTTATTCAAACTAGGTAACTCACTCAGTACAGCAGAGGGAGAGAAAGCTTCACCAACAGGGGTGTAAGCACCACAGTTCCCATCTGGGGTAACAAAGGACTCTTACACCAAGCAACAGAGCTAGTAATTGGGTTAGAATCCCTATCGAGATAGGACAGTTCAGTCAACGGGAAAGTGCTCAAGAGCTTGCCTGGGATTCTGGGACAAGACCACACATCTGGATGCCCTTCTCCAGCTAAGCCGGCCTTCTCTGATAGGTCAGAGCACTCCCTCCTGGAAGAGTCCTGTACATCTGTCACTCGGGTTTGCAATTGGTCTCCTTCTGTAGTTTTGGTGTATGCACATCTCACTTGTTTTTTCCTGTCCAGGCACAATCATGGGTGCGATAGTTACTCTGATTTCCTTATTAACTTGAATGTTCTCCCCAAGCCCCAACAACCATCATAATGAGAAATTTGTTTCCCCTACTTTAGATAAATGGTTCTTACCTAATGCGTTTTTAATTTTCAAGAAGCAAGGGTGTTTTTCTGCACTGTAGGATGTCAATGACTTTGACTTGGATTTTCTGTAATCAGAAATGGACTCTTGTGTGCTTTCTAAGGCTCCTCTGCAATATCTGAATTCTTCTTACCTCTCACTAGTCTACTTCTACTGGTCCGTTTTCTTTCTCCTCATAGGATGAAAAAAAAATGTGAATTAAGATTGAAAATGAAAAGTGTGAGAACTGAAGGCACAGACAGACCAACAGAATTCACAATCACGTTTGGTTTGAGGCCATTTCCACTCCTTGGACATTCCGTTTGCTTGTGTGTGTGTGCATGTGTGGTATGCATGTATGTGTTCATACACACACACTGATGAAAAGGATGTGGTGTCCTTTCTGGTAACAGATCGTTGCTTTATTCCATTGAGAAAGGGTCTTTCACTTGGAGCTCATTACTTTTTCAGCTAGACAGATGGTCAGAAAGCTCTAGTGATCCTGTCATCTCACCACTCCCTGACCCAGCACCAGAGTTGCAGAAATGCACAGTAATGTCTGGCTTTTTACATGGGTTCTGGGGATCCCAATTCAGGTCTTCATGTTTGGGCAGCAAGGACTCTTAACCACTGAGCCATCTCCTCAAATCTCCTGGGATATTCTTCAGGATTGCATAGCCTGGTATAGTGATGGGTGTGTAATTGTAGCACGTCAGAGCTTGAAGCAGGATTTTGAGTTCAAGGCAGCTAGGCTGGATTACATAAGGAAACACTGTTGTAGAGGAGAAAAACCAGGAAATAAGCTTTGTGCAACTTGCCATTTTCACATTAAGTAGATATTTTCCCACTTTTAAGGCTATCTTTCTACATACACTTTTTATACATCTTAAGATTTTGGTTGAGACAATCTCATGTAGCCCAGGCTGGATTCCTGTTGTCACCTCCAAGTGCTAAGATGACAGGTGTGTACTACCTTGCCTAGCTTTTGTGTACTTCATCTTTAGGATAAAATATTCTGTCTTTAAAGATTCCTAATGTATGCTGCCAAACCATTTTTTCCCTCAACACTGGAGATTTTACATACATATGTGTGTGAGAACACACACACTTCCAACGTGAAACAACAATTTGCAGAGATTACACAATTTTGTATTGTTTGACTCCATGTCATGGGTCAGTATTTAGCATGTATACTGCTTTGGGTTCAACTTCAGCAGAAAGTGTGTTCTAGAAAACACAATCTTGTAGTTTAAAAAATATATTAAAGCCAGGCATGATGGCATATACTTTTAAACCCAGCACCAGAGAGGCAGAGGCAGGTGGATCTCATTGAGTTTGAGGAAAGCCTGGTCTACAAAGCATGTTCCAGGACAACTAGGGCTGTTACACATAGAAACCCTGTCTGGAAAAACCTATGTGTGTGCACATGCGCATGCACCCGCGCCCACATGTGTGCTCCTGGGGTCAGTCAGTCATAAGCAATCTTGTGGAGTCAGTTCTTTCCTTCACCTTTGCATGGCTCTGGAGATAGACCAGGCTTGTCCAGCAAGCACCTATTACCCAAGCCACCTCATTGGTACAGTCTTGCAGTTTTGTTATTTCCTTTATATAATAGACATTCAAAGTTCAGTGCTAACACAGTGAATACATAAAATTCAGTGGTCATATGAGCAGACTGTGAGGATTACATATACATCTGCTTTTGCAATAGATGATTCATTTTTTCAGGTATTAATATGCTACTGGTGAGACATGTTCTGAGAAATGCATGCTTAGGAGACCTCATTGTGCAAATGTCAATATAATCACACAAACTGAAATTGCCACTGGGTGCCATTTTATGAACCAGTTACATGTGGTCTGTCATTGATTGTTATGTTGCCCAAACATATCCTGAACACCAGAGTGTAGTTTAGCAGTTGTAAAACTTATTCAAACAACTCTCATCAAAATAGGAAGACTAGCAGTAGTTGGTAATTAGGAAGCAAAACTGGTATCAAGTGATAAGTGCATCCATGAAGTCTGGATACTCAAACTATCAGGATGTGCTTATGTTGGTATTTGCTTTTTGATACTATCCTTGAATCTGAAATTGTGACCATTTTAGCCTTTGGATAGCAAGATTTATTATGCATACAGTCTTCTGCCTGCATGCCAGAAGAGAGCACCAGATTTTATTATAGATGGTTGTGAGCCACTATGTATGTGGTTGTGGGGAACTGAACTTAAGACCTCTGAAGAGCAGCAGCCAGTGCTTTCAATCTGAGCCATCAATTTAGTGTTTTTTAGTTTTTGTTTTTTTTGGTAATCTAACAAATAAAGCTTGCTTGAAGATCAGAGTGCAGAGCTAAGCCATATGTTAGATACACACACACAGCCACTAGTTAGCCTGAAGACAGTGGTGGCCACACCTTTAATCCCAGCACTAGGGAGACAGAAGCAGATAGATCTCTGTGAGTTCAAGGCCAGTCTCTGGGACATGAGAGTGAGTCTGTCTAAATGAGAAACAGCTCACACCTTTGATTCCAGCATTAGAGAGGAATATAAGGCAGTCTCAGAGTCTGAGGTTTGGTGGAGAGCACTGCAGTCTGCAGTCACTCTGGGACAGGATTGCCCCCCTTTGCTCTGAGCCTTGAACTTTCTAGTGGCTGGCTGCTTTGCTTTCCTGGACTTCAGCTTGAACCCCAATATCTTTCTCTGGGTTTTTATTAATCATGCTACACATCTCTCCAACCCTGAATGCCATTTTTAATAAACTTTAATCACTTAGTTAGGCTGCTACTAACAGTGGGAATAGGAGCTTTTGGGGGAGGCAACACAGGGGTTTGAATCCAAGGCCTTATCCTGCTTTGACCTACCACTGCTCTAAACCCTAATCCTAGGGGCCATCTTCTCCAATCAGTGGGAAGCTGACCCCATTCTTTAAAACCATACAACACCACTGTGCTACATCAAGGCCATCTCCTCCTGTAATGCACAATTCATTATCAATGAGCTCTCTAATAATTGTCCTAAATGTTAGCAATTACCATAAATAAGACCTATGGTATGAAGGTGATATGCAATGCCATTTCTAGTCAGTTCAATTTATATAGTATATGTATTTAAATTATACAAATGAAGAACAGACAGTTTAGGGAGAAAGAGAATCAGTGAATATCAACTACAAACAGGAGATTTCAGCTTGAAAATTTTTTTGAGACAAGGTGTTTGCCACAGTAAGTAGCCTTAGCTTTAGCTCAGGATGGCCTTCAACTCAATCAATCCTCCTGTTTCAGCTTCCTAAGTTCTGAAATTACAGATATGCAACATCAAGCTTGGTGAAAAATAGTTTTTAAACATCCAAACTTCAGCCTCCATCACTTGAGTGCTAAGTTGCCTGACTTGTGTATGGACAATAGGTTCTAGTTTAAGTCAGATTAGACTTTCACACTCAAATGACTCCATAATTTGACTACCTGTTGGAACAATCCCTTAATTAAATTCATTTACTGTTTAAGTGAATCCTAACCGTATTTCAGACTGTCACTCTCTTCAGTTTTCGCACAGATATACAG